GAAAGTTTGTGAACCCTTTAGAATTTTCTATATTTCTGCATAAATATGACTCAAAACATAATTAAAATTTCACACAAGTCCTGAAAGTAGACAAAGACAACCCAAACAAACAAATGAAACAAAAATATTTTCTTTGCCATGTAGGCCTATTTATTGAGAAAAATGATCCATTGTTACATATCTATGAGTGGCAAAAGTATGTGAATCTTTGCATTCAGTATCCGGTGTGACCCCCTTTTGCAACAATAACTGCAAGTAACGTTTCTTGTAACTGATCAGTCCTGCATCTTGAGGGAGTTTTAGCCCATTCCTCAGTACAGAACCGCTTCAGCTCAGTGATGTTGGTGAGTTTCCTCCTATGAACTACTTGCTTCAGTTCCTTCCACAAAATTTCAATTGGATTAAGGTCCGGACTTTGACTTGACCATTACGAAACATTCACTTTGTTCTTCTTTAACCATTCTTTGGTAGAACAATTTGTGTGCTTGGGGTCATTGTCTTGCTGCATGACTTTCTCTTGAGGTTCAGTTCACTGACAGATGTCCTGACATAATTATAATTCATTGTTCCATCAATGATGGCAAGCCATCCTGGTCCAGATGCAGAAAAACAGGCCCAAACTATGATACCAGCACCACCGTGTTTCACAGATGGAATGAGGTTCTTATGCTGGAATACAGTGCGTTCTTTTCTTCAAACATAACACTTCTCATTTAAACCAAAAGGTTCTATTTTGGTCTCATCTGTCCACAAAACATTTCTCCAGTAGCCCTCTGGCGTGTCCCCATGATCTTTAGCAAACTGCAGACTGGCAACAATGTTCTTTTTGGATGCACCATGCACACCGTGGTTGTTCAGTGTTCTCCTGATGGTGGACTCATAAACATTAACATTAGCCAATGTGAGAAAGGCCTTTAGTTGCTTAGAAGTTACCCTGGGTTCCTTTGCAACCTTGCAGACTATTACACTTTTGCTTATGCTTTTGGAGTGATCTTTGTTGGTCAGTCACTCCTGGGGAGGGTAACAGCGGTCTTGAATTTCCTCCATTTGTACACAATCTGTCTGACTGTGGATTTGTGGAGTCAAAACTCTTTAGAGATGTTTTTGTAACCTTTTCCAGCCTGATGAGCAACAGCAACTCGTTTTCTGAGGTCCTCAGAGATCTCCTTTGTTCATGCCATGATACACTTGTACACATGTACACAAACATGATCAGACTTCGATAGATCCCTGTTCTTTAAATAAAACAGGGCACACACTGTCACCTGATAGTAATTTCACTGATTGAAAACAACTCTGAAAAACAGATGGACTCTAATTTCACCTTCAAATTAACTGCCAATCCTAGAGATTCACATAATTTTGCCACTCACCGATATGTAATATTGTATCATTTTCCTGAATAAATAAATGACAAAGAACATATTTTTGTCTCACTTGTTTGATTGGGTTCTCTTTGTCTACTTTCAGGACTTGTGCCGAAAGTCTAAGTATGTTTTGGGTCAATTATGCACAAATATAGAAAATTCGAAAGAGTTCACAAACTTTCAAGCGGCACCGTATATTAAAGGAATAGTTCACCCAAAAATGAACAGTTGCTGAAACAAAACCGTCAGGTCATCTAGGATTACTTTGTTTCTTCATAGGAACAGATTTGGAGAAATTTAGCATTACATCACTTGCTCACCAATGGATCCTCTGCAGTGAATGGGTGCCGCCAGAATGAGAGTCCAAACAGCTGCTAAAAACTTCACAATAATCCACAAGTAATCCACACAGCTCAAGTCCATCAGTTAACATCTTGTGAAGTTAAAAGCCATCATTAAGGAGTTTTAATTTCAAACCGGCACTTCTGACAAAAATAAGAGCCCATAACCCAACAGTTCCTCCAGTGAAAAAGGCCCCTGTTGTCCTCTTACATTTAACTTAAAAACGTCTTAATGATGGATTTCTTTATTTAAAACACGAGCAAGAGGTTAATTGATGAACTGGAGTCGTGTGGATGACTTGTGATGTTTTTATCAGCTGTTTGAACTCATTCTCATTGATGTAGCAACTAAATCCCTATCAGCTAAACCGGCCTAAGGTGGTTTGCTGGTCTTGGCTAGTTTCTCAGCCTAGTCAGACTGGTCTGTTGATTGATTTTTAGAACAGCTTTAAGGCAGGGCCATCGTTTGTGTAATATATGTCCCAAATAATTCTAATTTCACTTAAAGGTTTCATATGATGCGATTTCATTTTTTCCTTTCTCTTTAGAGTGTTACACGCTCTTGGTGCATAAAGAAGATCTGTAAAGTTGCAAAGACTAAAGTCTCAAATCCAAAGAGATATTCTTTATAAAAGTTAAGAGTTAGCCACACCTACCTAAAACGGCTCGTTCGAACACGCCCCCACATATCTCTCACGCTTGAGGTATTCGGCTAATCACAACGCACTGGATAGCTGGCTAATCAGAGCACACCTCGCTTTTCAGACCGATTAGTTTTGTAAAAATCGACGCGTTTCAAAAAGGCGGGGCATAGAGGAGAAACAATAATGTACAGTATGTGGAAAATAATGTGTTTTTTTAACTTTAAACCGCATAAACACATTTCATTACACCAAATACACAAAATAATGTTCTTTTTAGCAGCATCATATGACCCCTTTAAATGAAATTAACCTCTGCATCAAATATCCACTTAGCATTATTCCTTACTCTGGAGTGACATCGTGTGGTCATTAACTAGTACGCAACTAGAAATCCGGAAAACGCACTTCTTGTCAAGGACGTTCATTGCATGTTATATGTCTCTCCCGGCACACCTACATTCCGAAGTTTACTGAAACCGTTATATTTATTCGTTAATTTAGTTTAATACATTTTCTGGATAAGTAACGTTAAATAATAAAGGCTGACTATATTATGTCTTGATTAATCACGGGAGAATCAATTCCATCCACAGTGTAATAAATGGCATTTTTGTTTCGTTTTGTAATGGAAAGTACCCAAGGGTTCTGACCTGAGATCATTGTACGCGCTCCCGTCTCGCCTGTTGCGTCGGTTGTGCGCGAATATTAAATCTGATCCCAGATCTGATCATCTGAAGTTTTAAAAACGCGGACGAGCTCATGAGTCCATAGCTGCACCGCGCGGTGCATTCTGGTAGTAGTTGAAAGATTCAAGATGGCGGCGAGCAGGAGACTACACAAGGTAGGCGTCCAAACCTCATACTTTTTATATCGCAAAAAGAAAAACCACACACGACGACGCGATGGGGGTTTAAACATAAGGTTTAGCTGGCAGAAAAGGCGATTTGATTGTTCACTGGTGCTTGATCGGCGTTGGTACGAGCGGTTCTCTCACTCGATGACTCGGCTCGCTTCGCGTTTCCAAACAAGAAGGAGGAAAAGCGCCGGTGGAGGCCGCGGGACTCTTGAACAGGGTTTTGGGGTCGAGATCGGAGAGATAGAGGGTCAAAGGACACGTTAGAGCAGGCTTCAGTGTTTTATCAAGTACTTTCATTCATTGACAGTGAGTAAGTGACAGGAATATAACGCACAGGAGTCTAATGCGACGAGTTCCGTCACAGCGGATTCGGTTGATTCAAACAAATCTGAATCATCTGAATACAATAACTATAAATTAATCGACTGTTATAAGAACTAATCGATGTTTTTAAGCGAATAATGCTGTTTTAACCCCGCTGCAGTGACGTTAGACATGACTCAAAGACTCCAAACCAGCAATATCTGTCAAATATACACATGTCTTTTTACATTTTAAGCTTGAAATAACACAAATAAGTAGAATACTGCTTAAATAAGACGGTTTAGTGAGTTCCAGGTGGTTAGCTGTTGTAACGCCGTTAATTAAAAAAAATAAAACGAAACCGTAAGTGTTCACAACAAGCTTTCGCTTTATAAACTTCCGTCTTGTCGAAGTCGCTTCATTCACAACTCGTGAATAACCTGTATTTAGCAACCTAGATGTGTCTGACCAATCCTTTTTGGAGGTTAACCTCTCTGAATTGTCTTATATTTGAGCTTTTAGGGTGTTTATGCACAGTTAGTGGACGTATTGTATGTCACAGTGATCATTTTATCGAGTTTACTTCCTTGTTAGATAAGAATGGCTGTAAATGTCAGACAGCTCTCATTGGCAATAGAAGGAAATGGGTTATTCTTGCAGGGCACTAAAACACACCCTTTTACTATACTATAGTGAACATGTAGTTGCTGATTTAACACAGTAAGGACTTATTGCAACAACGAATCGATAATGAAAATAGTCAACAAATTTGATTATAAAATTCAGATAATAACTTTAAAATTGTCTTTTAATCTGATTAATCAAAGGAATAATTGACAGATTAATCAAGTATTAGTTAATCATTAGTTGCATCGTTCCTATGTGAGACTAAATATTAATCATAAACAGCACATGTTAGAGCAGTTATTGAATATGAAGCTGCATGCACTTCAGACATTTAAGATGTGGTTTGTTGTTGTTTTAATCCACACTTACTTCAGGTCAGTTATTTACAGTAAGCTGCTGAGCAAGGGGTCATTTCTCCAACTCATTAGGTCAAGACCTGGCTCACGTTACAATTGGGAATGATGTCTTGTCCATGATAAAGATACATAGAAGGTCTTGGCCAATGATGTAAACTGTTATTCCTAATTCATTTGTTTGCGCTTTGTAATTAATTACCTAATTAATGGCCATTGTGCTATTAGGAGAGATTGTTTTAGCATAAGCTAAATCTCAAAGTTTCTATTGGACAAGCAGAAGTTGCGAACCCATAAATAGTATCTAATGCATCCTTGTTTCTAACCCTTTTTATCAGGAGCTTGAAGAAATCCGCAAATCTGGGATGAAAAACTTCCGTAACATTCAAGTTCTGCTGATCACAGAACCGTGCTTCACTGAAAGATACGCATGACAATCGCAGCTTCTGTCGAATCGCGATCTCGATTCCATTTCGATTAATCGTGCAGCCCTAACCTACACTATATCCATGCATCAGCTATATGTGATCTCATACCTCATGCAGTCACGCTTCTGTCCTGATTGCAACATTGATTTGTTTGTAATTATATACATTATAGACTGAGCTGTGCTCACCTCATTTACCTTATTCTCCCACAGGACAACCCTCCATACGACAAAGGGGCGTTCAGGATCGAGATTATCTTCCCTGCAGAATACCCGTTCAAGCCACCCAAGATCACGTTCAAAACGAAGATCTACCACCCCAACATTGACGAGAAGGGACAGGTCTGCCTGCCTGTCATTAGTGCAGAGAACTGGAAACCAGCCACCAAAACTGACCAAGGTGAGATGCGCTGCAGTTGTTGCAATATGCCTGAAACCGCCACATGAGTCAGACTGCTAAAGCTCAGTTGATCCTGGTGCATAAACACACTCGGTCTTGTCACTTCATGATATAGAAATCATGAACAAATATAAGGCTTTGTAATGATGTTTGTGTTTACTGTCCATCTGTTTATATAGTAGGCAACACCCTTTATTTCTGTATTCAGCTCATATTGACTACCCAAACGTGACTTTGATTAAAGCATGGCAAGGCCTCATTGTTCCAGTAAGTGTTTAGTAAATGCTCATGCATCTTTCATGAATTGTTTACATGTTATTTTCATATGCGTAAAGTATACAGACAAGAAATGGTATGTTTTAACAGCTTTAGGATTTGGAAACAAATTTGCACCTGAAATGCTGTAATTACACTAAAACAGAGATGCCCTAACCGGCGACCTATTGTATTTTTTGGGGGGGGGGAACACTCTGTTGAAGCATATCTTCATTTCAAATTTTTTGAAATATTTTTACAATAATTTTTGTATTGTAATTTGCATTTTTGCAAATATAGAGAATATAGGTGAATTAGATTTTTTTCAAAGTTGAATGTTTTAATATATCGCAGTTGAATAAAGTGCAACATTTACTTTCGATCAAAAAGCTTTCATTCAAGTTTGATTTTTGGCACTTTGTAGTAAACAATTTGGGCACCTCTGTACTAAAACATTGCTTAAATTTAAATTTTGAACAGATTTCTTGTGGATTTTAGAGCTAGACTGCATTTATACACTAAAGTTGAAAAAGTGAAAAAGCATAATAGGACCCCTTTAAACTTTTTTTTTTTTTTTAATTCTGGTTTGTTTTGATGATGAAGGCCATTTAGTTCTCTCTGAATGAATTACAGGAATGATTTAACGCTGAATTTAATAAAACAATATATCAGTAGAAATCTGGAAATACACTACCATTCAAAAGTTTGAGGCTAGTAAGATTTTTTTTTAAAGAAATGTTAACTTTTATTCAGTAAGGATCCATTAAATTGGACGAAAGTGACAAAAGCAATTTGTTAGAGATAAAATATCTCTATTTTTATTTTTTTTTATTTTTTTATATATATATATATAGTTAATAAATGGTTTTTGTTGTTGTTGTTGTAACCAATGATAATGTGCATTCTTTTCCCTTTCTTCTTCCAGTAATTCAGTCGCTCATTGCCCTGGTGAACGACCCACAGCCAGAACACCCTCTGAGGGCCGACCTAGCAGAAGAATACTCAAAAGACCGTAAAAAATTCTTTAAGAATGCAGAAGAGTTTACAAAGAAACACGGCGAAAAGCGGCCAGTGGACTAACAATACCAGACAAGTGTGTAGCCCCAGACCTCTCCTACTCCTCTGATCCTCTTCCCCTCGCTCTACTACCTTCCTCCCGACTCCCAAACGATATCCTCTATCCCTCCCTCCCTCCCTCCCGCTTTCCCTCCTTCTCTCCTTTCCATGTGTCACTCTAGTTGAGCTGGAGAAGTACAGCGCAGCTGCAGCCTCCGTCTTGAAGCAGGACGCCGCAAGGACATCCAGTCTGAGTTTCTGGTGTTAGCTTGAGGCCCTTACTAACTTGTTTATTTTTCTTTCTCAAGTTTGAAAGCGTCACAATTTGGTTAGAGGCTAACTTAAGACAAAGAAGTTGGAAATTGTACAGGGCGTTTCAGTGATGAATGCTGTTTGACCCTTTTGTAATGAGAAAATGAATCATTGCATTATTACACAAAACTTTCAAAAATTACTTTTGGAAGTGACAGTTCATTTAAAACAAAGATGGATTGTAATTTATCATGTATATTATTATTATTATTATTATGTTGTTACCTCTTCTTACATTTGTGCTCTTTGATTTCTGCAAAACAAAAAGGAGACATTAAGGAGGAGCTGGAGGATTTCAGTGACGGCGACAGATTATTTCATATAACCTTTTTACTTTAACTGCAATTGTTGGGTTGCACGGTATGTCTAAAAAACAGGCTACTTTCAGCCCTTTACCAAGCCTCGAATTGGCAAAACCACTGTAAAGTCAGTAACAAAGGCGGCTTAGGAGCCGATATTGCTATGAAATACGTTTGTTTGACAAATGAAAATAGGATAATTTTAAACATCTCTTTTAACATGTTTCGTAGGAAATTCTTGTATATTGTTGATTATTTGGGTTTAATCATGGAAATGGCCCCTAGTTTTACAGAGATGTACGCTACTGAGAATTATCATCCCCATTTTCTCCCAACACAGAATAAACGCAGTAGTTGACCGTGAGTTTTCTAGAACATTCTCTACAGTTTCTTTAAAGTATATCATTCAGTCTTTCAAATTGCATCTTAAGTGGTATTTTACGCCACTCTTTATAATGCAAAGAGGTTCTGCGGGCTTTCTCTAGTTCAAAATATTTCAGTAATATTTGCTTATGCATTTGGGTTAAGTGTCAGAACGCCTCAAATAAGCCCCAGTGTTTTCTTTACTTGTTAAAAACTTATTTTCATGCAGTATCAGATTTAAAAAATGCTCTACATTTGTGTACCAAAATAAAAAAGGAAGACCAAGCAATGTTATACTCAAACATTGGCTAAATTCATTTCTGATTACAGTTTTCATATTAAAATCAACCAATAAAGTAGGTTTTTTGGGATTCCCCAGTTTAAAAGAGCATTATGGGTTTGTGTGATAAATCAAATCTGAACTTGACCATTTAGTGATTTTTTTTAACCTTATTAGCATTAGTAATATATTTATGAGAACTACTACTTAAACCCCAAACTGTTGCTTCAATTACAGCTTATTCTGAAATGCCGTTAATAGCCTGAATTTATCATACAGGTTATAAACAGGTTAACCCTAATATGTGTCAAAACATTGAACTCACCAAATAAAGGCTATTTTGACCTAGTTCTGAATGAATGTTTCAATAGGATGGATGCTCGGTGTACAAATGTACTCCTATGGTGCAACTGGTTGGTTTGTGCATGTTTTAGTGTTTACAATGCCACGGTTCGGTTGATATCACGGTTTTGGATCCACTGTTCAGTTCTGTTTGCTGTGTGAGTAGGGTTCATGGCATGGCACCAGCAATGCTAAAGAACACTAGAATTAATTTATCTTGAAAAAGCTTGCAGAAAAAAAAAGGTTTTGTGGGAATCATCCTCAATCTTGAACTTGGTAAAACAATTATCTTTAAAATGTTTAAAGTCTTAATACTTTTCCTTTTTGTTATACTGGGATAAATCATAATGGGATGCATGTTAAAATTGTTGGATGTGGCGTCCTACCTAGAAAATTTTCCACCAGCCGCCACTGTAAATAATATATAATAATACATTACACTGTAAAAAATTTCAAGCCGTTTCAACTAATTATTTAGTAACAAGTTCCACAGAAATTTTACGTTCAGTCAATTTCTGCCTTCAAAGTGTGGCCTGAATTGTTATTTTTTTTAGTTGGCTCAACCTTTACTGAAATAGTTTTATAGTCAATTCAACTAAAATCATTTAATTGGTCAAACATTTAGAAAACTACAGCAACTTGTGTCCATTAAAATTTAACCATTCACTCCATGTGTTTCATATGTTACCTCAACTAAGATTTATTATTTGGGCATCATAAGAAATTGCTGTGGAACTAGTTATTATATTGAGTTTAAGAAAATTATTACCTGGTGTCTATCAATCACTAAAACACACACATTACAACACATAATAGCCTTTATTTAATAACAATCTGCATTTATAACATTTGTCATACAGACTAAACATGCAGGCTTAAAGGGATAGTTCACACAAAAATTTAAATTTGCTGTTAATTGACTCACCCTTGCTGGATCCTCTTCAGTTTGCCTACAGAGCAAACAGGTCTGTGGACGATGCAGTCAACATGGGACTGCATTATGTTCTGCAACATCTAGACTTATGTGAGGATCCTGTTCGTGGACTTCAGCTCGGTCAATTTATATATTTTTATTCCTTATTTACTTGTTCTATTTTTTTTGTTTTTTTCTTCTTTTATTATCTGTGTTTTTTGTTCTGTCGCTGTTATTCTGTTACACTGTGGAAGCTTCTGTCACGAAAACAAATTCCTCGTATGTGAAAACATACCTGGCAATAAAGCTCATTCTGATTCTGATTCTCAAGCCATCCAAGATGTAGTTAACTTTTTTTTCTTCAGTTGAACAGTAAAGGAAATTTTTAGGTGAAAACATTGTCTTTGAAAACATCGCAATTCATAAACTGCACGTCTCTGGCTGCCAGCTTTTGAGAGTCAAATAAACAAAGACGACAAATTACTAATGGCTCCTGAGGACACATTGAGGTCTTATGAAGTTAAACAATCAAAAACCGGCAGCCACAGACGTGCAGTGTATGAATCGCCAAGGATCACAGTTTCAGAAAAAAAATCTTTGCTGTTCTACTGAAGAAAAAAAGTCACTGACATCTGGGATGGCCTGAGGGTCAATAAAATAACAGCAAATTTCCATTTTTGGGTGAACTATCCCTTTAAAGTGCTCCAGTTGTCAAACATTACATTTGTAATACAACTGCAAAATTTATTTTAAACATTTTGTTTAATGAACTAAAAAAAGACTAAACAAGTTAAACAATGTTTGCAAACAAACACTTACAAATATTACTACTGTTCACAATTACATCTTTAAAACGAGGCAGAAGTCAGAAAAAAATAAATGAACCAGGGCGTTACAGTTCAACTGAACTGAGTCAAGTAAAGTCCAGTCACTGTATTTACATAGTGCTTTTTACACTACAGATTGTGTCAAAGCAGCTTTACAGTATTAAACAGAAAAATTGTGTGTCGAAGGAACCAAAACTCCATCGTTCTTCTCTGGCCAGATGAATCCAGCAGTTTAATTGCAGGCTGCAACACAGGTCAGATTGTGCAGAGGACTGGTCTGGCTCCTGTTGTCTTGTCCCAATGGCTTGTCCCGATGGTCCCCCCCCCACCTACAATTCCTGCCAGACCTGAGACTCGAACTCGCAACTTTTGGGTTACGAGCCCAACTCTCTAACCATTAGGCCACGACTTCCCCAACGTCAATTGATGCTGACTGTTCATTAGTTGCAAGGATTTGTAACAGAACATGCACATTTCATATTATAAGTCTACCTTAAACAGCATAAAAATAATATCAAAATATAATGGTCCTGCCTGTTGTTGATAAATACCAGTGGTGACGTTTTACAAATTGATTGATCAATTGTCTCAATGTTTACTAAGCCATGGTCTCTTTACAAGTGCAGGGACTCGTGTGCACGATCTAGTGATTCACTACCTAGGGAACTGACTGATACGCAGTCTGCTTTGATAACAGCCTTGTGAAAGGATACAGTAGTTTATTCTCGTTCGGAACGACGAACTCCTCTCCGAAGCGCCTTCATGAGACCAGAAACGCCGTGTAATCCGCCCCGTTTGAAAAGAGCCTGGTTGTTAGTCGCGTTTAATGTCGACTTCACAGGACAATTGCAAAAGTTTGCACACGCAAAAACCCATTCAACACGCCCATGTTAACTTCAAATAAGCGAATTACTGTGGTTTACATTACACGTTTCGTCGTAGTAAGCATTGGCTTATAAAAGAGAGAGACCGCGCGATCTCTTCATATCTTTTAACGTCACGGAAACACAAAAAGATCATACAACACCAAAATTAAACCTAAAATTCATTATAGTAACACAGCTTTTGACATGAAGTGTTTTATGGATTAAACGAGAGGAAAGAGCACGTTCCCTTCACTTAGACAGTTCATTTCCCTCAGACATATTCATACAACGATTATTCGATGTTTTTATATATGTTGTACGTTTGTGTATAAATACATGCGTTTTAAATAATACGTTTACACCTTAGTATTGATAAATTCAGTCTAAGTACAAATTCAGTTCCACTTACCTGACGCGTGAACTTGACATACATTTAACATAGCCTAAATATAAATTTTTCTTTGGACACACGACTTCACCATATGCTGTATGTTTTTGTCGATTAATTTAGTCCAAAAAATAACATTTATTTAGTGGCACTTACCCGACACGTGAACTTGACAAGATGGCGCTGTTTCTCCCGCGAAGTCACTCAGGCTCATGCACGTGCAGAATGATCTCAGTGTCGGCTGGATTAGTTTTAGTTTAGTCAACATTAGCATAGCTAATTGTTGACTGAATTTGAAAATAACCGTTCATTCAACCGTTTTTCAAATATATTTGTGTAGACTTAATATAATATGTCCTCTCAACTAAGCCCAAGCAATAAAATTAGCTCAACTTAAATATTTTTGCCCTTCCAACATTTTAATTGGATTTTTTACAGTATATATATATATATTTATATATATACACACACACACACACACACACAGTAGTCAACATTTGAAATGGATCAAAAAAGTTAATCAAAGTTGTGCTAAGACAAGAACGCATTTTGGTTTTAACGTTTTAGGACAACTTTGATGAACTCTTGATCCACTTCAAATATATATATATATATATATATATATAAACAAAATATTGCAACTTACAGTTCCACAAAAGGCTGTGAGTGGCTGTGCTAGTCATGAAGATATAACTCTGTGGACGTATTCTTTCCATACATAACAACGCGCTGAAACATGGCATATTCTTTTACAGTCCTGTTCTCATTATAATTTTATGTAGCCTATATGACAGATTTGTTCTGCACGTTGTCCTTAATAGTACTTTCCTTTCCAAAGTGATTCAAGCAATTCAAAACCATCGTGGCCGTATATAGTGTTTGAAGTGTCTCAGCAGGGGGCGGGGTAGGCCAAGAGAGTATCGCGGTACGTTACGTTACTGTGGATTTTCGGTTCGGTTTGAATATCGTTACACCCCTAGTCTTTACTAGTACATACAAAATATAGCGCAGCAAAATTGATGTGCTCATATAATAATGATTTTTTTTTTTTTTATCTTAAATCACATTAACCATCGTAATAATTGTTCCAAAGCTATTTTTAAATTTCAGAAAGAAATCCAGAGTAAAATGAACTGTTTTTTTTTATTATTATTTCAGGTTCATAAAAATATCATAAATACATTTATTAAAAACATTGTACCCAAAAATAACTTAGATTTTTAAATATATAAAGTAATTGCTACATGTTCAGTTGAGTTCAAATCTTCATCTAGTACGTTAAAGTCATAAATATGGCATTGTTGTTGGATTTTACAGTTCTCTGCAATATTAATATGTGGATTTGAGAGAAACTTGCTCAAATGAGGCAACATTTTTAGAAACAAATCCAGATAAAATTGCAATTTCCTATTATAAGGACACAGTTCTCTATATTGAAATGGCTAGCTGCTTTAAAAAACAAACAAACCTTAAACTAAATGTCTAGTTGAGCAATTTGAAAACAGGTCAATCTAATAGTATCTTGTGTTTCTGTTGAAGAATTAGTATAATTCAGTTGTTTTAGCTCTACTTGAAGTAGCAGCTTCAAAACATTATTGTATGGGCTCTGGTAGCAGTACAATGAAACCGAATCTGATTTTCTGCCTTTCCCAAACCAAGCACTCATACTGTAATATGACTAATTGAGGTATGGGTCAAGTTGTGTTTCTGTTGAAGAATTAGTATAATTCAGTTGTTTTAGCTCTACTTGAAGTAGCAGCTTCAAAAAATTTTTGTATGGGCTCTGGAAGCAGTACAATGAAACCGAATGCTGATTTTCTGCCTTTCCCAAACCAAGCACTCATACTGTAATATGACTAATTGAGGTATGGGTCAAAATCTTGTTTCCTTAAAGCAGAAGACATTCAGTTTGCCAAACCTTAAATACTCTGACCTAAGGGTTTAAAAGTCTTTAAAGGCACAGAGGTGGATCCTCTGTTGCCTGTAGTAGTTAAGCACAAAAGGGTCCCTCAAAGTATTAAGCTCGTGTAGTCGGTCTGCAGACTGTGAGAAGTCATCTGGTCCTTCTCCACATCCGCCCTGGTGAGGCTGACTTGGATATCCTGGATGCACCATAAGCTCTGCTGTAACCGGACGATAGGAGTCAGTCGCGGCATCACTGGACTGTATCAACGAGGAGGTCACACCGTCATCTAGTGAAGCTTCCAGCGTGAAGCCAAAAGCACGTTTCAGGTTGGGGACAGACATGTTCTTACCCATAGTGCTCAGGCCCAGGTATATGTCAGGCCATCTGAGAGGACATACAAAACCAGTATGTAATCGATTAGATTTCATCAGGCAAAAGTGCAAAAGTGGAAAAAACATTTAATGCATGTTGTGTACATACTGCACCTAATGTATTTGAAGGACAACATTCATATTTATAGACTATTAAAATGTAACTAAACCTAAAAATGAGTACACAAGATATTGTAAATTTCCTAAAACATTTGTAAAAACTTTCTACTTGACAACTAGGTGCTGATCATTTAAAATGCTGCCTCACAAACCTAATTCCATAGCGATGAAAGACCTCGATAGATTCAAGGGCATCTTTTTCAACCTGTTCATTAAAGTCTCGCAGATGCGGCGGGAGGAAGGTGCAAAATTTAAGACCGGGTTCTATGGGGACCCGTGTGTAGGTGATCCCAAAATCAGAGAGAACTTGGGCGAACACCTCTCGCACCTCTGAAAAGCATGGTAAAGAGTAAAAAATAAAAAAATCTTTTTTTAAAAGATACCGTTATTTTTATTCAGCAAGAACACCTTAAATTTATCAAAAGTGACAGCGAAGACATTTATAATGTAATAAAAAAAAAATGCTGTTCATTTGAACTTTCTATTAATAATAGAATCATAGTCCACAACAATATTAAGCAGCACAACTGTTTATAACATTGATATTAATAATAAATGTTTCTTGAGTATATGTACTCAGTGAGTGTAATGTATCAGCATATTAGATGGATTTCTGAAGGATCATGTGACACTGAAGACTGGAGTAATTATACTGAAAACTCAGCTTTGCATCACAGGAATAAATCACATTTTAATATATATTCAAATTGAAAACATTTTAAATTGTAATAATATTTCACAATATTTACAGTATTTTGGTTACGTAAACACAGTCTTAGTGACTGATTTCAAAACCATTTTTAAAAATTATTATCGACCAAAAACTTTTGAACAGTAGTGGTACATGAATTGTTGGTTATTTGGTGAAAAGGATCGTTCAAACGAACCCACTGTTACCTGGCAGCACGTGCACATGCTGGTGGCCGTCCATATGGTAGGGTACGTGGCCAACAAGTTCACAAAATCGATTTACCTGGGCTCTGAGCTCCGCCTCCACCTTTTAAACAGAAAACACAACACAACTTAAGCAAACAGCACGACAGAAGCAGACAAACGTGTTTTGCTGTGCTTAGTTCTGAAGTCTGAAACTTTAGAGGTTATATAATGAAAAGTACTATTCTTGATCTTTGCAAATAAAAGAGGTTAATTTTTAACAAAAACAATGAAAAGCTTCCTCCACAGTCCAAGAAGACCATCTACTGAAACTAAGCTTTATTAAACAACTTGTTTAATAAAAAAAGGGTTAGAGAGAAGGTGGAAAATGGTTATGTAAAAGTATATTATATCTGTTTTTGGTGCAAACACTCGACTAACATTAATGGGCTTCAAGAAAAAGAGAACAATTATGATACGACCCCTTTAAATGTTTAATTCTAGTAAAAGAAAGAAGAAAAAGGTGGAAATGGTTTTGTAAAGATATATTACATCTGTTTTTAGTGAAAACACTCTTGACTAACATAGTGAACTTCAAACAAAATGTAATAAAAATTAAGATACAACACCTTCACACTTTTAATTTCAGTAAAATATGTGCATATCACGTGTTTTTCTCTCTTTCTAATTTACTGGATTTACATAGTGGTGTGTATTTTACCTGCTGCTTTAAACTTTAGTTTAAAGAGTACATAATGTCATAACCCCTCTTATAAGCAAGATAATAAAGTCCTTTCATGTTCTACTTTGAGCAACCATTGACACTACTATATAACATGAATACAGTGCTATACAGTGTGATGTAAACACGCTTTATGGTTTGAATTCACTCCCATGTGACTTTCTGTTGGTCTTTATGAGTGTGTGTTCCTGTGTACCTCTGACATCTTGAGCTGACCACACTGCAAAACTTCCCGGAAGCCCATCTTGCCATGGAAGAATCCATCCTTGTTGAGGAGCGTTGAGCCCTTTAGATCCTGAGACACTGGAAGACCCTCTGAAAGATTCGCATGGAGTCCAATGGGGATGTGATTCCTGTGTGTGAGAAGCAGTGTTATTTTAGAATCACTGAGACACTATTATAGATTTTATTACTATTTTGAATCAGCTTTTTAGATTTTCCGTTTTCATTTAAAGGGGTGGTTCACTGGGTTTTTTTCTAGGCTTGATTGTGTTTATGGGGTGCAGTCTAACATGTGTTCATGCTTCGTTTTTTAAAAAACGCATTATTTTTCACATAATTTACCTAATTTCCACACTGCTCTGTCCCTTCTCTGAGAAACGGGCCGATCATTTCCTTCTTTTATGAAGCCCCTCCCTCAGAAATAGGCGATGGGCTCTGATTGGTTAGCTAGCCCAGTGTGTTGTGATTGGCTAAACCACCTCTAGTGTGCTCTAAACGTCCCGCCCCTCACCTCAGCGGCATGTGCTCCGATTGTATTGTAAACAACTGCATGTTAATATCGCTTATCAGTTTGAGAGAGAGAGAGAGAGAGAGAGAGAGAGAGAGATGCAGAGCGTGTGCAGAGCAGGGGGACACGAGGAACAGTATTAAGAACCGCTGCTTTAGAACATTGGTTTTGAAACTTGTGAATCCATTAGAATCGTTAGAAGACAGAATCGCGATTCATATATGAATAGATTTTTACATGCACCTCTAGTTTTCTCTTCCTCTTCTCTAAAGCAGCGCAGCATGGCCTCGCCCCCTTTGCTGCCTTTTCCCGAGGGCGAGGTTTATCTGGGTTTGTGATGTCACGAACCCGGGAAGGAACTTGTTGTAGTCCCTACGAGCCGTTTTTGTAGGCATTAAACTGCCAGAATTTTAAAAGACGATATCTCCGTTTGCATTGAACTTTCAGCTTCGTAACTTTGCAGATATTGTTTATGCTCAAACAGCAACATTAGACACTAACTAACATTAAAAAAGTGAAATCGCAATGAACCACCCCTTTAAATTTTACTTAAGAGTTTTAGTCATTTTGTAGCGTGTTTTTGTATTTTTTTTTATTCGTTTTTATTTTTCAAGTATGTCTATATAGTTTTTGGTGATTGTTATTTTAGTAAATCATGTTGAACTAAATGAAAATTTAATTTTTTTTCTTAGCAATAAGCTGTAATAAAATTACTTTTTTTATATATTTTATTTCATCTCAGTTATTTTTCAAGTTTAAGTATTAGTTAACTATAATAACTATACATCTAACCTCTATACATCTATATCTAACCTATACACCCTATCAGTAGGCCTTGTCTTATCTTTGGCAATAGGTTTAAAAGGCTTACATGTCATACGGGAGGGTGTTGTAACACTTTGTTTAAATGTAAGATACTCAAACTTTGATATCATATTTGCATATTTATCTGCATGAAATTAAAAGTAGTTAGAAAATCAGCTCTGGTACCTTTTGGCCAGCTCTGCCGCGTGCTCCGCTGAGACTGCATTGACCAGAAGGGAGACATTGGAGATCCCACCAGTTTTGAAGCAGTCCACAATCCCTTGATTTCTTCTCTCGCAGTACCCAAAATCATCTCCTGTCACCACCAGCTTCACCTTGGGTTGAGGCATCTTCTCCTCGTCTTGCTGATGAAAGATAAAAATACTAGATTAGAGATCGACCCATAGCTTTCTTTAGGATTAATACTGATTATTTTTACATTAAGCAGAAATTCGTTAATTTTTTTATTTCTGTTTTTTGACAATAATAACTAAAGGATCTTTAGACCGCACTACAGAATATGAAACAAAATATTTTATAAATAATAATAATTATTGATAATAATAATTGTTGCTAATTATGGCATTATATAAAGATTTACATTAAAAAGCCACTTTTTTTCATCTTTGTTTTAGGCTGTATGTCTAATTGTGAAGCTATTAATTTCCTACTTGAAAATGAATTGCTGATTTATTAATACTGTTTATTTTTATGCTAAATAGAATTTTAATTCATTCTATTTAGGCTTAATAATAACTAAAGGATCTAAATTTTATAAATGTTTTTAGATTGTATTAATGTAATATTAATAAAACGCTGGCATTTATTACTAAATTTAAAAATATTATTTAAATATTATTTTATTAACATATATTTACTAACATAACATTTTATTTATGCTAAAAATTGTTGCTATTTATTCAACCCGTTTTGCCTGCGCCAAAAGGTCACTTATTTATTTATTTACTTATTTATTTCTGCGTCTAATGGTTAAACTACATTTCTAACTTGAAAATTAATTGCTGTAATTTATTTATATTATTAAAATGTTAAGCAATTATACAAAATAAATGTATTAAAGAAGACACTTTACCTGTTGTTTTGTCTTATTTTCAACAAACGGTGCCATTTGGGTAGATTTAATTATACTGACAACCAATGAAACGTGAATATCCGTTAAAAATATCTATAAAACCGATTAACCAATCTCTAAAAAAAGAGAGAATTTTTCAATATGAAGACAGACAGAGAAGTGTCAGTCACGCGAGTCATATATAATGAAAGCCAGTCATTCACACAACAGGAAACGCGATTCTCAGCTGCGGGAAAGCTGCTTACCGCGAAATCACCCGCTCGTTAATAAGACAGATCTAAAAGTCTGCCTCCTTATTCACTTCATCGGTGTTAACACGAGCAGCTGCCACTGCCTGTCCATCACAGATATGGTATACAATCGCATCAGCCCGATTAACGTTACATACTGGTTATAGATTTACTCCGCTTGATCTATTAATAAGAAACACACAAATGTCTTATTATTTCAGAGGGACTAATAATTAGTTTTGTGATATACTCCTAGTCAGCAGTAGTAATGTAGTAATCGCTTACCCATTTTATAGCGAGGTTTTTGACATTAGTCCTTTTTACAATGTATCCCAATAGTGTGCGGAGAGAATGACTGAAGACATAAAACTGCAATTTCCTTTTCCGGAGTTGCAGCGCCCTCTACCGGATGTGAATAAAACAACGCCACATGTACAAATAGGTCCATGCAGTTTCAAAGTTTCTCTTCCTGATTTATGTCAAAGTCTATTTTTAAATTAAAAATATATGTTTTAAATGGATATTTGATATGTTTTTAACTTTTTAGCATTTTTTATTTAAAAATATAGATATTTAGCTACACCATATGATCAATGCATACCATGATATCGTGTTCTTATTTGTTCTTAAAATGATTAATTCGATTTTTTCCAAGATGTTGGCAACCAAAAACACGATATGTGCTTCTATGAAAACACTTTATGAATAATTATTATTAAGACTGAATAAAATGATGACAATGTGGTGTTTTAGAAAATAGATATTTTATAGATTAAAGTTATAAACGTATTGTGAACCTTTATAGAAGTTTTTAATCAGATATTAATTAATAAACAACAATAAACTAGGCTATATAGGCATACTCACGAGAGCCAGGATTTTGCTGTTCTCAATGTTATGAATGTAAGCTGAACGTTATCCTTATACACAGACTTAAAGGGGTCCTATTAAGTCATGCCAGACTGTGGAGAGAGGTGTTGTAATAATGTAAAATATGTGAAAAATAATGTTTTTCGAACAACCTAGTATGAGAGCCTGTTATAGTACACCCCGAAAACAAAATCAAGACTTCGTAAAAAAGCATAATAGGACCCCTTTAAGACAGCAGGGGTGATTACGTGTCTATGGAGGCTTTTGAATGTTTTCCCAAGACACGTAACCTCGTTTAGAAATAAGGAAAACATCATAAAGTATCATGTTTATGATCTTTGTTTGCGCACGTTCAAGTGTTTTCAGCTTCAGCCACTGACGTAGCAATAATATGCATAGCATCACTTACATTATGTGTTAGAATAACACTGTAGCACAGGGTTCCTCAAATCTTGCCCTGGAGGGCCAATGCGCTGCAGAGTTTAGCTCCAACCCTGACCAAACTCACCGACCTGTGATTTCTAATGATCCTGAAGACATTGATTAGCATGCTCAGGCGTGTTTGATTAGGGTTAAAGCTAAACTCTGCAGGAAAGTGGATCTCATCGGCCAGATTTGAGGATCCCTGCTGTAGCATAACAGTTTACTGGAAACAGTGGGATGTAATGTCATTTAGAAACTTGATACATTCTACTTTAAAACAATGAAACTCCAGAAACATGTCTTGTTCTGCTTTATATATATATATATATATATTATTTTTTTCCCATATGTCTAGCATTTGTTAAACACAAGAATGCATCCTGTGTAAACGGCTCCTGATGAAAGAACGGTACAAATAGTAGTGGGAAAACACTTAGTGAACATTGATTTTTTATTAAGTTGTAGTGGAGGCCGGGGCAAGTTGTCACATGTAATATTGTCACAAGTGCTATTTCTCAGTATCTATGGGTATTTTGAGGCTAAAGTCCAGTTTCCCACTACTTTAGTAGTGCTTATCTATGTTAGTTTCAAACACCTGTTTCAAAAGTAGCTAGTGTTAAATTAGGACTACACTTTCTTGGCTAATCAAAAGGAAATTATTAAATAAAATAATAAAATAAATAATATAAGGTAAACATAATAAATAAGGTAAATAAATAAAGTGACTATGAGGAAGATTTTAACCAAAGGTTGAACTGTGCAGGCTGTCATTGTGAATATGTTGAAATGTTATACAATTAATTCATCAAAAAAAAACAGTGGTTTTATTATTTTGTGTTTGTTTGTTTGTTGTTGTTTATTTATTTATTTATTTTTGAACGTACTATTGATAGATAATTATATATATATATAATATTGATATTGTATATTGTAACGGTCATTAATATGTCGTGACGTCACATCGTCCTCGCCCAATCACTGCTTTCCGTGTGTGCGCGTGGATCACTTCCTTGGTTTCGGACTTGTCATGATGCGATTGGTTAGAAAGCGTGTCAGCGTTTGAATGGGGCTCTCCGTATCCATTTTTCTGTGATGTAGCCTACATAGACACGAGCTGTAACAATGGGACCGTTAAGAGTTATATCTGTCTTTCTGGATTTGATTTTAGTATGTCTGATGTTCGCCCCGTGCGGCGCTCGTGATTTGGACTCCAGCTATGTGACTTGCGGCTCTCTGGTCAAACTGCTGAACACCCGCCACAGCGTCAGACTTCACTCGCACGATGTCAAATACGGATCAGGTAGTGTATCCACTGTGAATAGTCAATATAATCATCAACTATAGCAGTTTGGTCAACGAAGCCCTCGGAGAATGCTTATGTTCTAGTCGACAGCTTAATCTTCGCTTAGTCTGTTATGCACTTATGTTGAATACACTGTGTAATAGCAGCTGGTGCATGTATGCATTAGCCAAGAAGCTAATGACTGGTAATATTTCTAATCAGTAAACAGTAATGTATTTGTCTTTCCGTTAGCCTGTTATAGACTCTCTTTCATCCCCCGGAGGTTTTATTTCTGTTGGTTAGGATGTATTATGTTTACCTGAACGATCCAAGTAATCATGACGACAGGTGCATTACAAAATACTAAAAGGCACCATAATAATACCATTTTTGTAATAATACGTATGGTATTCATTCGAGTGGCATGAATTCCTTACACGATTATATATATATATATATATATATATATATGTGTGTATA